GTCCCACATCGGGCTCCCCGCTCAGCGGGGAGCCTGCTTCTCCCTCTGACCCTCTCCCCTCTCATGCTGTTTCTCTCTCGCTCACTCTCTAAAAAATAAATAAAATCTTTAAAAAAAAAAAAATTATAAGGGAAAGGCAAATCTAAATAGGTACTATAGGCTTATCCTGTTTTGTAAATACATATATAAAAATAATTTTGTAATTAAAAAGTAATTAACAGTCCTTTTTATAATTAAAAGTCCTTTAAAAAAGTTAATCAAAATGTTGAAATTGCTGAAACTTTGTTGTGGATACTTGGAGGTTCATTATTCTCTTCTTTTTATTTCCTAGTATGTTTGAAAATGCCCATAATAAAAAGGGTTTTTTTTTTAAGTCCACGTAAGAAGATCAGTGAACTTCTTGCTGATTTGCTGTAGTTATGTAGAAGGTTATAATCTGTTTAAAAGCAAGAATAAGGCCTTAAACCCTCTCTGCTCCTCACTGTGGCTAATGTATCACACCACGTACAGTAACAAACAGCTAGTGAGTATTAGTTAAATTGGTGAAGTTGAAATGTCTTTGTTTCGGGGGAGCTGGACCCACTTAACTTGAAGTGACTTCTAGTTCTGAGATTCTGTGATACCAAATTTGAACATACTTCCTTATGTTGAACTCACCAAGACCTCAAGAAGTATATGCCAGGTGACCAAGTAACCTGTTAGTCTTGTCTTTGCCAAATCGCTGATGAAGAGATTCCAAATTTGGCTTCTTGTGAAATCACACACCAGCACGGTAAAGCAAGAAGGGGCTTTTCACAATCACCAAGCATTTGCACTGTGCCTTTCTTCTTTCCTAGACTATTCTGGGTATTCAGTGTGAGCTCCAGAAACAGCTCAGGAATTTCATTTCCTTGGACCAACTTCCTATGACTCCCCGATACAATGATGGACGGTGCCTTGAAGGAGGGAAGCAACCAAGGTTTGCGGCTGTTCCTTCTGTTTTTGGAAAAGGTATAAAATTCGCCATCAAGGATGGCATAGTAACAGCTGATATTATAGGAGTAGCGAATGAAGATAGCAGGCGGCTTGCTGCCATTCTCAATAATGCTCATTACCTGGAAAACCTACATTTTACCATAGAGGGGAGGGACACTCACTACTTCATTAAGCTTGGGTCTCTGGAGGAAGACCTGGTGCTCATCGGTAACACTGGGGGGAGGCGGATTCTAGAGAATGGTGTCAATGTCACTGTGTCCCAGATGACTTCTGTGTTGAATGGGAGGACTAGACGGTTTGCAGATATCCAGCTCCAGCACGGGGCTCTGTGCTTCAACATCCGGTATGGGACAACTGTCGAAGAGGAAAAGAATCACGTGTTGGAGATTGCCAGACAACGTGCTGTTGCCCAGGCCTGGACTAAGGAACAAAGAAGACTGCAAGAAGGGGAGGAGGGTATTCGAGCATGGACAGAGGGAGAAAAGCAGCAGCTTTTGAGCACTGGGAGGGTACAAGGTTATGATGGGTATTTTGTTTTGTCTGTTGAGCAGTATTTAGAACTTTCTGACAGTGCCAACAATATTCACTTTATGAGACAGAGCGAAATAGGCAGGAGGTAACAAAAAAAATCTCTGCCTTTGCGTCACCAAAGACTGCCTGTTTTTAAAACATAAAATGGTTTATTGTATTGGTTTTCTAGATCAGAACTCTGTATATGTAAATATGGAGGAAAAACATATCCAACTGCCTTTCAATGTGACGGAAGATGGTATTTTAATATTGTTTGTTTAAACTCTTTAAGAAATGACAGAGATTTTTAGTTCTTGTGTGGCAGTATTCAAAATAACACAAGTAAAAGAGCTAAAAAAAAAAGTTTTCAGAAAGCACCACTTTAAATTTGTCAAGCCATGCATATGTTCAAATATAAAGGACCCAAGGTTCTCTATCTCTATTGTGACACGAAATTTCACGTTTAACTGTTGGCAGAACTTGTGGGCTATTTGAAAATGTGGTGCAATAGTATTCTGAACCCTGCTTTTCGAAAGACTGCCAGCCCTTTCACATTTCCCAGATCCGTTATAGGAAACTTACAAACAAGTGTAAAATGTCCTCAGCCACCATCTCCCAGAGTCAGGACCCATTCGCCCTTCCTCCCTGATTATTCCTCCTTGCTTGTTAAAGTAAATGCCATGTTCTTGTGCTGTGTTTTGGCGTGTGGTGGCTGGGTTCTGCCTACCACGCCTCCCTATGGGTGTGGTAACAGGACTGAATTACCACTATTTGCTTGTGTGTACATGATACCAAGGCACCTGGCCAGTGTAACTTCTCCCACAACCTGTTTTGACTACTTTTTTTTTTTTTTTTTTTTACCAAATTGTAAGCATAGCTTTTATTAACCTGGGTAGGAATTTCTCATTTATATAAAGCGTGTGCTTTTGGTCATAGTTTCACATTAGTGATTCCATACTGATACACTAATCCAGTGGTGTTGTGCACACGGAAGGTAATTTACTACAAATGATTCTGGTACAAAAAAATAAAAGAGACTTTAGCAGGCATACGTGCCTGGAATACCGATAAATACGTTCACTACTACTGCAGAAATTCACAAGAGCCAAAACCTTTATAAAAACAGACCTAGTACTAAGACGAAAGGAAAATACTAAAGGGAAGACCAAACCAAACATTACAGTAGTTGCTGCCACATTGACTCATCCCACTTAGATTTATCTTTCAAATGTACAATTCTGTATTGAACATCTCCCAGCCACAGTCAGGAAATTTAATTAAACGAACCCTTTCCAATCTAAAACATTTCAACTCATTATAGAGAGGCAGACTGTTTTTTTTACTAAAATAATTTATACGGTTAGTTATTTTGGTTCTCTGTCTTTACCCATTTATTTTTATTTAATCATCTGTCCTGCCTGGGAAAATAACTATTTTCCAGGAAAGCTTATTTTGTTCCATGATCAGTTAAACTTTGGAAAAAGATCAGGATTAGTGGTAATATCAGCTGCAGTTTCTCAATCTTTATGAATCCTGTAGTAAAAAGAAGTCCCTTGGTGAGCTGCGAGATTTGTGCCCAGTGACAAAGAGACAGTTTGTGAAAACGCTGTGTAATTGTAAGTTACCACAAATGAAAATACATGACAGCACAATGTGGCCTGCTGAAAATTCCCCTGAGCCAGCTTCAGCACCTTTCATCACTGGGTCTGCACATTCGCTATGTCTGAAGGAGAATTTATGATGGAATGTTACAGTTTGGATTCTTTCCAGCTACTACCTAAATGCAGTGTGGGGTCATTGCCTTGCTTTGTGATGACAGTCTTCTTTGAAAATATGCAAAGTCAGAATTCAGGCTCCCGTTAAGGTTTTTAAAGAGTCTGATTTCTTACTCCACCAAGTGGAAGGACAGAAAGGCAAGGACCTGCAGACAGCAGGGGAGGGTGGATCCAAACATTTCATTTTCAAAAACTTCACATTGGGATTACCACATTCTTACGCATGTATTCCGAGAGAAAGACAGAGAGAAAGAGAGAGAATTCATGATGAACTCCTCTCTCTTTTTAAGTGGAAGCACACCAGCTCAAGAGATTACTGATAGAGACTACAATCATATTACTGTGTTGTTTTTTTCCCCCTGAATCAGGCCTGTGTTAGTGGTACAGTATTTATTCAGCACGGGATTCTAAAATTATGAACAAACTTGTTGAAAATTTGAATACCTCCACACCAGCCTAAAAATGGACCTTAAGTTCCTAGAAACTCTGAAGTTCTTTTAAATCAATGGAAAAATAATTTGCGAACTGTATATAGAGAGTGCATTCATAAATGTGATGATGTATTTTATCACTAATCCAAGATGTCAATATTAGAGTCTATTTTGCTTATATTTTAAGCGATTATTATACTTTTTTGCAATTCACTGATGATGTATCATTTTCAAACTGCTTTAAATATCCATTAGGAACAAATATTTGAAGCTTTTACTTAATAGTGATTACCTTGAACTGTGCATTTCTAGTTTGTAATACATATTTATTTAGTTTGTGCCTTTAGTTTCTTAAAGTTGTATTATATTCAGGAAATGCACTTTTTATCACTTATAGCTGTGGTTTTAATACTGCCTTGAACTATTATTTTTCTCTTTACCACTTCCAAAGTTTTTGGGAGGAAAGAGAAAAAAACCCAAAAGGTTAGCACCAATGAACAGTAAATCTAAGAGAAACATTTTGGCATTTCTTAATAAGAACGTGGAGATATTGGGTACATCGTTCAGCTGAATACAAGGAATGCCTTCATAGATTTGCAATTCTGAAGTTTAACTTAATGAAAGAACAATTTGTTTGCATTTCCTGATGAAAGTAAATGTATCTTAAAGGGAAATATTTGAATTTCTCATACCCAGAGCACAGGCAGCTGACACTGCATAACCACACACCATTCAAGCACGTTCGAATGAGAGCACGCTAGTTGGGGCTCTCATGAAGAACATTCTGGGCTGGAGGCAGGGACTACTCTGTGGTTGTTTCTTTTTCCTAGTTAGGCCCACTTTACTTGTGCTGTTTTGTTTTATTTTGTTTCGTTTTGTTTTTACTCTTGCACTACGGTCTAGAGATCCAAATGAACTGCAAAGTTTGCAGTTTAACAGACATTTGATTACATTTATTTTTAGTTGTCATTCTAATCATTATTGATTAGAAGCATGACTCCTGAAGGAAAGGGAAATAAAGCCCAATTCATCCTAATTTCTAGCAAAACACTCACCATATAAATAGGCATATGTTTTATTTTTAACCCAGCAAAATACTGTATAAAATAAGCGTGTCCTTTACTGTCAATTTATCTAGAAGATCTATAATATATAGACTATATATATATAATATAATATATATACAACATAGCCAAATGTATAAAAACTTGACAATGTATAATTTGGAATTCACAGGCTAACTACATAGAGAGGTATAAAATTGAATGATAATTTTTCTAAGATTTTTCTTTTTCATAACTGTTGACACAGTTTCAAGCATTCTATCATATTGTTCCTACTCTTTTTTTTTCTTTCCTTTTTTTAAAATCTATTTTTAACCAGACCAGGCCCCACTGTAATATCACCTGAGAGAGTCAGGGCGAAGTTTTTACATTTATAAAGATACATTCCTGTAAGGGCAATTGTAATGGAAGCAAAAGTATAGGAATCAAGTATTGAAACACACTCTTTGGAAGAGACTGGAGTGTATTCTAGCTTGTGGAAAGACAGAAGGCTACAGATTGGATGCGACATTCTTGTTTTCTTGGAGGAACTCACATACACGTAGCTGACCTGACTAGTACTTCAGATCTCAGACTGCTCTTCCACAGCCTTCTGTAAGGTTCTTTATTCTGCAAAGGAAAAAACAAAACAAAAAAAACACAAAAAAACAAAAAAGACCAAAAAAACAAAAAAAAACAAAAAACAAAAAAGCAAAACAAAAAAAAAACAGAAAACAACAAACAACAAAAAAGAATTCAACCACAAAATAGTGACTGTTAGTTCAGTGTGTCCTTCACGTGAAAGCTATTAAGGACCAAACCTACTACTGTGTGTACGAAGAAATTACTTCCTAAACAGTAACTGAAAATAGTTAGTTAAACTTGCTGTGGATTTTGTCTTGGCAGTTGTCATCTTACATTATTTGTCAAAGGAAATGTGTTTGGCAGTTAAAAATCTTTCCTTAGATTTAGTGGTGGACTTTAACCTCTTAAATAAATGTTAGTATATCAGATTGTGTCCTTGAAAAATATTTTACTTGTATGAATCATGACAATGTCTAAATCTTTACTCTTCTTCTGGCAAAAGCATCGGTAAGAAAGAAGGTGAAAAAGAGAAGTATAGCCTTTACGTCAGAAAAATATTCTTTTTAGCTGCTTACTTTCTCATGAACAGTAAAAATGTTTACAGTGTATGCCACTTTCAGTTTCTATATAACAACAGTTAGAGGTTCTAATCATACTGAAAATTGTGTTATAATGGCGTGAGCCATGTTGCTAGGAAACAATAGGTTCCAATTTTGTATTCCTGCTCTCACTCCTGTGCTGAAAAGTGACTGGATACTGTACAGGTTCATGTTCTCTGGCTGCAGTTAAATGGTCTTTTGCATTTTGCTCTGGCTTTCAGGCCAGAAGCATGCATTTTTCTACAAGAGCATCACAACAACGTGCTGTAAATATTTAAAGTTCAACATTATGTGTCGATATTTGAAAGAAAAAAGTACTTTGAATATTTCATTTTTAAAAAATAAAATTGCAAATGAACACTGCGGCCCGTTTTATTCATGCGCCAAACTGCATTCTCGAGTCTGTCTGGTCACCTGACAATTGAAAAGTAGCTCCCTAACAGAGAACAGTAAAACTGCATCATCTTGAAAATGAAGGTGCAGAAATCAAAAAGGCACTAATCCTAAGCAGATGTCTCTTCATTTTTATTTTTCGTACAAATAGGATCTCTGACACAAATGACCATTTAATAAAAAAAGAAGAGTAGCTTTTGCAAGTTTAAATGCCTCTAGGCTATTATTTTAAAAAGGTTTCTTTCTCTTGTCGATGCCTTTCTGAGCAATGGAAAGAAAATGAAGAATTGCAAAACGGGTGGGAGAGAGCTAGGAGAGCAGAACACGCAGATGCATTGGCAAAAAAGCGAATGGGGGAGAGAGGCAGTCAGGAAACACTAAAAAACAACAGCTCGCACGTCCCGGGCAGTTCCAATGGCCATTTGGCACTTATTTTTCACGAGAACATATTTACGAGTGACACTGGGAAAGCAGGCCAATAGAGCTTACAAAATTCAACTTGATAGTAACAGGGCACCCATTGTCCAAACAACCTGTTTGTTTCTGAAAGTTGCTTGGAATCCTGGAATTTACATCACCCTTAAATGCCCTGCTGCCTTTTTATTCAATGATATATCCAGTAGTCTCCCCTCATCTGCAGTTTCACTTTTCAGGGTTTCAGCTACCTGCAGTCCCGCAGTAAACCACAGTCCAGAGGCAGATGATCCTCCTCCTGACGTTGTCAGAAGGTCAAGAGTAGCCTAACACTGTCACAATGAGTGCATCATTCCCCACACTTCCTCTCATCACATAGGCATTTTATCACCTCACATCATTGCAAAAAGGGTGAGTGCAGTACAGTAAGCTATTTTGAGAAAGACAGAAACCACATTTGTGTAACTTTTATTACGGTATATTGTTATAATTGTTCTATTTTCTTACTACTTATTGTTGTTAATCTCTTGCTATGCCTAATTTATAAATTAAACTTTATCACAGATATGTACATATAAGAAAAAACATAGTATATATAAGATTTGGTACTATCTATGGGCTTGGGCATCCATGGGAGTCTTGGAATGTATCTGCCGCAGGTGAAGGGGCCTACTGGGACACAGATACAGTGAAAAGATTCATGGAGCAGAAGACAATCCCGATTGTTCCAACACAACCAGTCAGCAAAAAGCAACGGGGTCATGGGTGGGAGGGCGAAAATATTAGTATCACCTAGTCATTTTTTTAAAATAGCCATCCTACCCCACCCTCAGTGTGCAAAAAGAGGCAAGAGCTCCTACATAGAATCATTAAACGAGAGAACAGATTTCTCCATATTCCCCCCCTACTCACCCTCATTATTAGAGATCTTTGAATATCAGTGCTACTTAAATTTTTAGCAATATTACTTCCTCAAATTTATATAATTCTAGTACCTCAATAATCCTGGGAGGTGAGCAAGACTTCATTGTTCCTACTTGGCAAATGCAATAATAGTAACAGACTGACTTACCTAAGGTCACATGGATAATCTGACAAAGCTGAAAGAATTCAAATCTCGAGGCACCTGGGTGGCTCAGTCGTTAAGCGTCTGCCTTCAGCTCAGGTCATGATCTCAGGGTCCTGGGATCGAGCCCCGCATGGGGTTCCCTGCTCCGCGGGAAGCCTGCTTCTCCCTCTCCCCCCTGCTTGTGTTCCCTCTCTCGCTGTCTCTCTCTCTCTCAAATAAATAAATAAAATCT